TGTTTTATGTAAATATATTCATGTTGAAAGTTTGATAGTACTGATCCAACAAATTATTGTGGTAAAATCATTCCTATGTATCGAGAAAATCAAAACAAAGCCCAGAAAAGTAAAATTGAAAAACACAATATTAAGGAAGCTACTTTTAATATATTGTTATGGAAAAACATGATGAAGATTTAGAAATTGAATTTTATAAACAAATGAAAATGATGAATGTTCTACTGAAGAACAAATTTTAAACTTTATACAATAAATAATACCAGGTTACCATTTGTATTTAATTGCAATTTATCAATTTAAATATTCACTTACTTTGATTTATATTCCCCCTTTCGATATGCTTCCCAATAAATTATAGGAAAATGATATCTTAATATTAATTGACAAATTACTTTATGTTTCAAATGCAATTTAAAACTTTTTCAGCAGCAAATGTCATAGGATAAAATTATTTAGAAAATAAAGAATATCATCAATTCAAAAATAATTAAATTCATTTTCTAATATCCTTCATTCAAAATTCAACTTCTCTTGAATATTTTAGGCCTTGATGAGCAAAATTAAATTGTAGGGTTTTTAAAGCAAAATAATAAAATTAAAAAACCTCAGTAAGTAATGTTATCAAAAGAATTATAAGATCTATTAGTTTAGATAATTAAGGCTTCAAATCCTATTTCCAGTAAGCACTAATGAAATGATGGATCTAAAATTACTCTTTTTCATCAACATATAATAATAAGCTGATACTATGTGAAAGAATTTCAGATCAACTAAAAGGAATGATAAAGTAAACCATAGTTTGCTGTTTAAAGGATATTGCTCCTAATAAGATTGATTTATTCAATCGATTGAATTTCAAGAAAGATTTATATTTCAACTTCATTTGTTAGTCTAGGAAAAAACTAAATTTTAGATTCAATAAAGTCTCAATTGACGACCAGATGAAAAAAGCAAAATTATGTTTTTTACTATTGTTGGTAATATGGAAAATGAATCTCTATGTAAAATTACATAAGATTATATTAAAGGTTTTTGAATATATGATTAGACTATTTTATAATAAGTTGAAATGAATATAAAAAAAAATTGTAATAGGCAATGAATTCACTAATTTTCGAATTAATTGTTTATTAATCTTGTTATTCGTTTTGAAAAAGATGGTTTAATCTTTTATACATTTCTTTATTTTGTTTCGTAATTATAGATATCTAATTTTTCTTGGCAAGTTTTTCTATCAGTAGAAAATAAAAATTTGCTTTATCCCCCTATAAACCTACATTAAAGACAACCTTTATTATCGTAAGCATTATGATGAATTTAATTTTATAGCCAATATCATAACACAATATAGCTTATTTATCTATTTTCAAGTTTTTAATTTAAGAGAATCTCATTGAGATTTAGTTATTATAATCTATAATTTATTAGACTATATTGTAATAACATTAGGGATCATTTGGATCAAATTTAATAACTTCATTGTAGAATCAAATAGAACTCATATATTCCTTCAAATCAAGTTCTTATATTAATCGAAATCATAAATATTTTCGTTGTATTACACTTCTAAGAACAAAGGATCAATTTAAATTGCCTTTTCATAATGTGCCAAAGCCTCTGTGAATAAACTATACCCTTAGAGAAGCCATTATTTTACCCTTATTTAAATATGATTTAGTATGATTTGGTTTAACTAAAATAACTCTAGCAAAAAACAAAATTGCTTCTTTTAAATGAATTTCTTCTTAAATTATCTTAATTGATCCTAAAACTATTCCTTATTACTATAAAAATATACACTAATTATAATATGAAGTTAAATAATTAGGATTTGAAAAGATGGTTTGATCATAACTAGTTTGAGCTTCTTCTTATGTTTAAAGATCAGCTAGGGTTACTCCTAAATATTTAAGCATTTTTGAACTTCTGTCATAATGAGTGAAAAAATTCTTTGTATTAATCCATATCAACAAATAAAAACATCAATGGCTTCATTATTATTTTATAAATCTTATATTGTCAATTAAATTGAATTTTATCTTAGCACCACCTAACTAAAGTTGCAAATGAGCTATCAATGTTAGTTTCCTTCCTAAAATATTGATTCTTCAAACATTGCTTTTTTAACTTTTAAAACAACAATATCAAGACTACAAGATCACCTAGAGTCAAACCCTTAATTAAATGTTCTATATATTGATAAATTAGTAGAGTTATTATTCTCTATGAATTAATTAGATTCTTTAGATATATCTTCAATTATATTGTTATTATTAATTAGAGATTTTTCTTTTTACTTAATTCCTTGTTTGGTTGATTTAATTCCATTACCAAATTAAGTTGATAATTTACCATTAAAATATTAAGTAGTTCAATCTCTAAAATTTTAAATTCAAGATTCTCTTTTAAAAATGATATATATGTTCTAAACACTATCATTAATTATTATTTAGTTATTCTAAAACATTTACAAGTTGAAATGCTTTGAATAATAACAAATATAATTTAAAATAAACTCTAATCCTTATCCTAAAAATATTTTTTCATAAACACAACATTTATTTTCTTGTGCTATTTATCTATAATTTATTTAGTAATTATAGAATTCTTCTTTTAACACAACAAAGCATGGAAATAATTTTTCATTTAATCTATTTATGTTCTCACTTAATTCTTAAGTAATATGTGTTCAACAGTTATCTATAGCTGATAGCTGATGGTATTAAACTTGTAATTTATTGATTATCGAATGGGTATTATTCTTCAATTAAGAGATAGCAATATTGATCTATTGTTATTATGAAACATTAGAATTCTTATTGGAAATGGTAAAATTTAAATGATTTACATCCATAAATAATTTATATAGTATTTCTAAACTTCTTGAAAATCACTATCTATGCTTTGAATCATTAAAAATTAATATTAAAAGTAATAATCAGATTAGGTATAATATATATAATTAATATTAAAATAATAACAGTGAATAAATAAATTATTTATTTTTGTTTTTA